CTTTGTTCTGTGTTGTCTTCACTCTGGAGCCCAGGCTGATGGAACAGCCTCTTTCTGGACCATTGACAGTCACTGTGTCCAAAGGAAACAGAGCCATGGCAAATGTTCTGGCTCCTAAAATTTCTGCCTGGAGATGACATACAACCTTCCTGCCACATCTTATTAGCGAAAGGAGGTCACTCACCACTCCTGGGTTCAGCAAGGCATTTGGGAGAAGCAGTGCAGGGTAGGAAAGTGGAATATTTAGTAAATATAAGGTAATCTACTCCAGTGACTTTATTTCAAGGCTTTAATCTCCAATAATGGCGATGCTCAGGCCTCCATTTATTAAACACCAGTCATCTGCCAGACACTAGGGCAGGTGCTGGACCTGTTTTCTTGCTGCATTTTCAACATAAGTCAGATCTTCCGGGCATCCCGTTTATTCAAATGGTGTGAGTTTCTGTCATTGCAGAGACATTCATTGGATACCCTCTAGTACCAGGTTCTGTGCTAGAAGTGGAGACCTCGTGCTTCCTTCACATAACTCCGCTCCCCAGAAGAACCCCTCATTATGATCATTTCAGTGGCCCTAAACATTCCTCCTCATATTTGTTTTTGTTTTAATTCAACCACACTTAAAAATCAAGTAAGAATAATATATGAACCCTGACTTTGAGTGCCCACTGTATGCCAGATGCTGCACTTTTATTTTCTAATATGTCCATTTTACAGATAAATAGCACCTGCTGCTATGTGAAGATGCTGGGTTTAGTTTCACGGCCCAGCTCTTTAAAAAAAAATTTGTTTTTGAAGTCTGGTCAGTTACAATGTGTCAGTTTCTGGTGTACAGCACAATGTCCCAGTCATTCAAGGCCCAGCTCTTGATTAGACTTTCTTTTTTCCTTTTTCTTTTTTTTTAATTGAAGTACCATCAGTTACAATGTGTCGATTTCTGGTGTACAGGACAATGTCCCAGTCATGTGTATACATGCATATTTTTTGATTAGACTTTCTGAGCCTCATTTTCCTTATCTGTAGCATGAAGGTGATCATTTAAATAGTGAGACAGTTGTTTCATTATTCAGATAATGCCATTCTATTTAATACTTAGCTCACTAAAAATAAAGACTTATTATTTAAATTATAAATAATTGAAAATAATATAAATTCTATCTTATTCAATGCAGAAAATTTAGAAGTATAAGTAGTGGTCATTTAAGCAATACTCATAATTTTAAAATGAGTATTAAATAAGATAATAGGGTGCTGTGCCCAAGGAAAGTACTCAATAAATGTCAGCTGGTTTTTTGTGTGGTTATTTTTAGTAGTAGTTCTTTCTGGAAGAACTGAATGTCATTTTGTCTCACTGGCCACTGCCTGTTCAAGTCTCCCTTCAGCCGTGAGCAGGGCCTTGGGTGGAGGGAGGCTGCCCTCTTGGGGAAGATGGAGCTGGACTCCGGGCGTGCGCACCATGCATCTCTTCTTTTTCCTCATTATTTCCTCTGACTGTCCTTCTCCTGCGCATACTTTTTTTTTAACTTAGTAAATTTTGTCCCTTAAAGAAAGGCTCAGAAGTCCCTCTTTTCCTGCTCTCACCTTCCTTCCCCTCTTCATTCCTTCCACAAGTGTTTATTGAGCACCTGCCATGCACCAGGCCCTGAGCCAGGCCTGGGGCTACAGAAGGGAGCACCATACCTGCATCCACAGCGTTGATGCACTGGAGCAGGGATGGGTGTTAGGAAGGGACCACACGAAGAGATGTGTAAGGTATGAATTTGGCTGTGGGGAGAGGGAAGGGTCAAGGTGCTGAGAGATCGGACACCAGGACACTGGAAGCTGAGGGGTCTCCCAAGCCCTCTGGGAAGGTGGGGACATATAAGGCGAGCCCAGGCTGGCAAGGAGAAGGCAGCTGCTGGAGAGCTCAGGGAAGCATCTTCATGCAGGGGAACAGCACCTGCAAAGGTTCAGAGCTGGAAATAACTCAGCATATTAGAGAAACAAAAAGCCTGGAGTGGCTGGTGAGCAAACTTCCTGAAAAGGGCTAGATGCAAGTGTTTTAGTCTTGGCAGGCCATGGGGTTTCTGTTGCAACTATTCAGCACTGCTGTGGTGGCACAGAAGTGACCACGAACAAATGTCCTGAAAGGTCATGGCTGCCTACTGATAGCACTGTATTGACAAAAACAGGCAACTGGCCAGATTGGCCTGAGTGCCATAGTTCGTCAACCTCTAGGCTTGAGGGCAGTGAGTGAGGAACAGAGTGCCAGTCGTTTCATTCCATCTCCCTGACTCCGCTCCAAATAGAATGACTGTCTCCCTCCTCTCTGCCTCTAATACTATGTTCATACAACCGTTTGAACACCTTATATAAACCTCACTCCTCACTTGATGGTGAGTTTTTCAAAGGCAGGAACTGCTCCTTCCTCATCCTTTTATCTCCAGCAGCTACCTGATGCACTGTGAATAAGGAATGTTTGTTGAGTGAATAAGCAAACACACATTAGAACACACATGCCATTATAAAATGGCAGAGCTGGAATTACCCTGGGGGGAACTGGTTCAACACTCTTATTTTAACAAAGGGAAAAAGTGAGGCTCAGAGAGGGGGTGGTAAATTGGATTATTTTCCCTAGTGTGTCATTCCCCTATAGTTTTGACTTTGCAAAGCTTTGCACTGTAGGCAGAGAATACTTTCTGCCCCCATTGATACTGCACTTGGCCATATGACTTGTTTTGTCTAGTGGAATAGTAGCTTGAAATGGGTTTGTGTGGTTGGCTTATCTTATGAGGAGAGCATCCCCCAGGTAGCCATTGCCTCTTCAGCCTGGTCCCAGAGTGAAGTCATGTAGAGCAGACATCAGCTGATCTTGGTGCCTGGAGTGCATCCTGGCTTAGCCTCAGTCAGCTGAATGAATTCAAACTGCAGCTCCATGAGGGAGGAAGTAAAGGTTTGGAGGTTAAGTCATTGAGATTTTTGAGGTTATTTGTTACACAGCAATAGCTGACTGATACAGAGGAAGTGAATTAGTTGTTCAGGCATAATGTAATGTCACTAAAATTGATACTCAAAAAATTTCTTGGTCAGTTATACATAGGTAAATATGTATATTTTTAAAGTAAAACTGTGTTAAATTTGCACACATGTGGAGATCTTAACTGGATGTGCTTAAAAATGGCATAATCATTATATCTACCACAGCCTCCAAAACATGTGCAAATATGAATCCCAAAATGTAAAAATACCAATACAAGCCAAAAACGTGTGCTGTAAGTGGACCCATGTTTAAAATGTATAAAAAAAAAAATATATTCCCCAAATGCTTAGGGAGAATAGTGAAAGGGGAAAATGCTACTGTACTTGGTGCACTGGGGTTTGGACTGCACATGGAAGATCACATGTTCACAAACACATCCATACACAATTGTATGTGACATCTAAATGTGTATACATAGACATGCATATGTGCACAAATTATGACAGACAAGTTTTAGAGACGGTAACACTATTTCCACTGATGTTCTTGTTTTTGTGTTTTGCAGATATTCAATGCACAGTATATCCAATAAGTAGTTCTGGACTCATTTACTTTTACAGTTATATCATAGACTTACTTTCTGGCACTGTAAGTATTTAACATAATTCTGGATTTGGACCCTCAATACACTGAAAATAGATTAATTGAAAGACCAGTTTCCTGAACGTCTGCAGTAAGAGCCAAACACAAGTGTTGACATAAGTCCCAGTAAAAGAAATTGTGGCTCACCCGAGGTCATACGCTAATGAGAGCAAAGTGGGAGAAAATCACAGAACACTTTTTAGCCCCGTTTCTTTAGATCACATCCCACCAGAGAAGTTTCTCCTTGTAGGTCTCCACACACTACAATCTTTGTCGCAAGAAAGGTTTTATAGAAGACTTGGATGCATTCGATCATAAATGTTCAGTAAACTACACATGATAAAAGAACAGCCCTGTCCTGAAGAATGAATTTTCTACAGTGATGAGAATGTTCTGGATCTGTGCTGTGAAATTCGATAGCCACTAACTCTTGAGCACTTGAAATGTGGCTAATCTGACCAAGAAACTGGATCTTAATTTAATTTTATTGTTATTGATTTAAATTCCTTTTTTTTTAAGTACAGTCAGTTACAATGTGTCAATTTCTGGTATACAGCACAGTGTCCCAGTCATGCATATACAGACATGTATTTGTTTTCATATTCTTAAATTTGAATTTCTTTTTAATATGTGTTTTTAAAACCATCCTACCTGCATTACTGAATGGCCATCACATACATTCCCTGTAATATTACTGTTCTCACCGTGGCAAGCAAGTAGTAAACTGACAAATATTTTTCATGTGTGTTTAAACATTTATCTTCATGTATTATATAGAATGAGCAGAACATCCATTCACTGACCAGTGTTTTCGCTGTTGCAAGCAAATGCCGCATTTCTACATGTATTACAAAGTGACTGTCACATCCATTCATGGAAATACCAGAGTTCTCCGTGTGGGTTGCAAGTATGTAGCAATCTTACACACTTCTCTGTCACACTGAATTATTAAAACTTTTCTACACACGTTACAGCATCGACATCCCATGCGTTGACTTAAAGTATTCTGAACATACTGAGCAGGTAACACTTTTATAACCATCTTTTTTCCTGTGTTTTTAAAACCTTCATTAATGCATTCCCATACGCCCACCACATTTATTCACTGAAAACGCTGGTTCTCAACATGGTAAGCAGGTAGCAGTCTTACATCGTTTTGCGTGTGGCTTTTTTTAAATTGAGATACGATTGACATATAACGTTGTATACATTTGAGGTGTACACCTGTTGGTTTGATGGGTGTATATATTATAATATGACTACTGCAGTAGTTTTAGCTAATACCTTTATCAGGTCACATATAAATTTAAATTTAAATTTAAATAAGCCCAAGAGGGAGACGGCCAGAGAGGTTAAGCAGTGGCTTGTCTTTGCTGAAAATAACTGGGCCAGCCTCATGATCAAATCCAAGAAATTATTTACCAGGCCCAGTGGACCTTTGTCCTGTAATGTTACATTATTTCGTGGGAGAGATTGATGACAACCCTGATACCAAGCTAGGGCAGTAGAAACAGGTTTTTGTGTAGTTGGGCAAGTCTTGAATGGCCTGTGTGTCTTGCCTATGGGAGAGTTAAAAAGAAGATAGTTTTCTGTTTCTACTTTTTTTTTCCCCCCTAAAAATTGTACTTAACTACTCAATATAAGAATACATGGTTATCATAAATATAGAGTAAAAAATGAAGTACCTCTTCTCAGAGACCACCAAACCTTTAACATCACAACTCATAGCTTTCTCAGCCTTTCTTGTGCACTTACATGATCTTCTTAATATTTTTTATTATTATTTTTTTTTATGATTTAGCCAGTCCCTTATTGATGGACATTCAGATTGCTTCCATTTTCCCTCTTTATACACAATTATATGACAATTTACAAGCAATGCTGTAGTGAACCTCTAGGTGTTACTTATACTGTTTCTGCTCTCTGTGTATGTTCCCTTCTTCGCTCTCCTAGAATGCTCTATCCTTGCTATCCAAGGAGGAGTTTGAGTGTTCAGTTATTCCCACCATAAGAAGTCACAGACTTTTCTCTGCTATATTTTCAGATGGGGCACCTTTGGGGGTTTTTGTCTGTCTGTTTGTTGTTTTGTTTTGTCCTGGTAATAGTTCTATTGAGATACAATTCGCATAATGTTCAGTTCACCATTTAGAGTGTCCAAGTCAGTGGTTTCTAGTCTGTTCACAGAGTTGTGCAACCATTACCACAATCAATTCTAGAACATTTTCATCACCTCAGAAAGAAACCCTGTATCCTTTAACTGTCACCTATGAATTCCCCTAGTCAGTGCTAAGCAACCACGAATATACTTTGTATCGTTATGAAATGCTTATTCATGAGACTTCATATAAAAGAGATCATATAGTATGGGTTTTTTTTTTTAATCTCTGGCTTCTTTCACTTAGCATGTTTTTAAGGTTCATCCATTGTTAGAGCTTCTGTCAGTCTCTGATTGCTTGTTATAGCCAAATAAGATTTCGTTGTGTGGAAACATTACATTTGTTTATAAATTCATGACGGACATTTGGGTTGTTTTCACCTTTTGGCTGTTATGAATAATGCTGCTAAGACCATTCATGTACGAGATCTTGTGTGGACATCTTTTCAGTTATTTGGGGTATAGGCCTAAGAGTGGAATCACTGGGTCAAATGGTAACCCTATGTTTAACTTTTTGAGGACCTGCCAGACTGTTCCAAAGTGACTGCATCATTTTACCTTCTCACCAGCAATGTATGAATTTTCTGATGTCTCCACATCCCTGTTTGTACTTGCTGTTACCTGACTTTTTAATTATAGCCACCCTAGTTTGTGTGCAGTAGAATTACTTTGTGGTTTTCATTTGCGTTTCCTAATGACTAAAGACGTTGAGCATCTTTTCATGTGCTTATTGGCCTTTTGTTTATCTTCTTTGAATAAGTGTCTATTTGGATCTCCTTTCCATTTTTAATTGGATTATCCATCTTTTTAGTGTTGAGTTATAAGAATTTTTTTATATTCTAGATACAAGTACTGATCACATGTATGCTTTCCAAGTATTTTCTCCCATTCTCTGTATTGTCTTTTTACTTTTTTGATAGTGTTCTTTGAAGCACAGAAGTTTTCAATTTTGATGAAGTCCAATTTATTTTTTCTCTTGTTGCTTGCGCTTTTGGTGTCATATCTAAGAATCCATTGCCAAATCCAAGGTCAGGAAGATTTAACTGTCTTCTAAGAGTTTTGTAGCTTTAGCGCTTACATTTAGATCTTTGATCCATTTTAAGTTAAAAGTTATTTATGGTATACGGGAAGGGCTCAACTTCATTTATTTATTTACTTGTTTTTGCACGTGGCTGTCCAGTTGTCTCAGTACTTGAAAACTTTCTTTTTTCCCCCTTATTAAAAATCAGTTGATCATAGATGTACGGGTTTATATTTGGACTCAGTTCTATTCCATTGATCTGTATGTCTATTCTTAATGCTAGGCCCCCCGTGTCTTGATTACTGTTGTTTTTTAGTTAGTTTTGAAACTGGGATGTGTGAGTCCTCAACTCTCTTCTTTGTGGTTATTTTGGCTATTCTGAGTCTCTTGCAATTCCATGCGAATTTTAGGGTTATCTTGTCAGTTTTACCAAGAAGCCAGCTAGGCTCCTGATAGGGATGTGTTGCTTTTGTACATCACTTTGGGGAGTGTTGCCATGGATCTCCTGATTCATGAACATGGGATGTTCTTCCATTCACTTAGATCTTCTTTAATTTTTCAAACAATGTTTTATGGTTCCAAGAATATAAAGATTTACACTTCATTTGTTAAATTTGTTCCTAAGTATGTTACTATCTTTGCTGTTATTGCTCATGGAATTGTTTCCTCGGTTTTATTTTTGGATTGTACACCTGTGTATTTTTAACACTCAGGCTTTTTCTGTGCTTTATTCCCCAAACACTAACTGGGCACCCTGTATACCTCTGGAATTTTCCCAGCCTCTGGGAATTCAGGGATGAACAATGACACCAGAATGTGAATTCCTTGAGGCAGAGACTGATCTCCTGGTTCCCTGCAGTCAACCAGTCTGACCTCGTGCCCTTGGCTTTGTTTCAGGGTTTCTTGGAGGATACCTGCCTCTTCTATGGACATTACACCATTGACGGGGTGAAATTTCAGAACTTCATCTATGATCTGCCTCTGGCTTATTTGTTAAGCACAGTTGCCTACCTGGCCCTGAGTCTTCTCTGGATAGTGAAAAGGTAAAGTCAATTTTGTCATTGTGTTCTCTTTGGATTACTCTTGATGGCCAGAGTCTCTTGGAGGTCCATGGACTCCAGGAGCCATTGCCCAGAGGATGAGCGGAGTCCGGGGGTGGGCTTTGTGGAGGAAGGTTTGTGGGTGTGTTGGAGGCTGTGGAGACCTGGAGGAAAGGGAGGCCAGCATTTGGGAGCTGGAGTAGCAACCTGGAGTCTTCAATCGATCATCATTGAACACCTTTGCCGGTACCATTCCCCAACCTTATTTTTGATCTGGTGTGTATGCAGACCAGGTCTCTACTGGGTTGCAAATGGGAGAAACCCAACTATGACTAACTGGGGTGAAAGGGATTCGAGTGGCTGAGAGAAACAAGGAAGGGAGGAAACTCCAGATTATAGGAAGGACAAGGATATAGGTATGGCTTCAAAACAACCCAAAGCAAGGGTTCCTTCCTCTCAGATTCTCCTGGTGGCAGCTTCCTTATGTGGAATCCCAGGGTCACAGGTTCAGAAATCCTTCAGAGAGACTTGTTGGCTCTGCTTCATTGAGGTACCCAACCTCTACTCTCCAATTGTGGCCAATGAGTTAGGGTCCTGTGAGAACATGGCATTTACCATGGTAGACAAGTGTTTTAGTGGGTGGTGCCAATTCCCAAGAAAAGTGAGGAATATTAATTACATTAACAAACAACTGTCCCCAAAAGTACAATTGTCCGACATGATTGATAGAAGTTGTGTATCTTACATGAAGTTCTTAGTGGGTCACAGGCTAGTATGGAAGGCTTCTTCTCAGTCCAGCTGGGACTCAGGTTGACTGAAGCTTAGCCATCTTCAGCATGTGGCTTTGATGTTCCTCTGGAGGGCTGGAAGGGAAAACGACCTTGGAGGAGTATCACATGGAGGGTGTTTATGGGCTCGGCCTGGAAGTGATGCACATCACTCATAGTCCATTGGCTACAGATGATCACATGACCATAGCTAACTGCGGGGAAGGCTGGGAAATGCTGTCCTTGGCTGGTGCCACTTCCCACTAGCACTGTACTGTGGAAAGAGAACCACAAACTTCTAATGGACAGCTTCCTGCCTGCCCCAAGGGGATTGCTTGGATGGACACCTCTCTTACCTACTTCGTTGCTCCTATGAGAGCTCGGGCAGTGCTGTAAGCCATGGAGCTGTGAAGCTCCTTATCACAGGTGTAGGAGGGACCAGGGTGTTGGGGTCTGAGTTTGTCCTCCATGGGGACCAGGGTTCACCACCACAGAGAAGAGCCCAGAGCCCAGCTGGGCACTCATGTCGAGTCAGAATCTATGAGATGAAAATTAACTGATGTGTGTCCATCCCCCACATGAAGCATACTGACAGGCGGGAACAATAGCTTATTTTGAGGGCAGAGAGATGCTTGGTAAGGAAATGTTGGTTGACAGGGGCTCTGGCTTTGCTGTTCTGTGCTCCTGGCAGGGGCAGATCCAAGTGTTACGGACCTGCAGCTTAGGCAATATGGAAGGGCCCTCTTTAAGACAAAGAGTATGAAAGTATCTTCTGTAAATTATAACAAATAAAAACAAGGCCATAAGAGCACATTCCTAGAGGCGCTCCCAGGGCCTTGGAAGAGGCCCTGAAGAAGAAATAAGCTTTATTGGCCGAGCAGTGGATCCATTTCCGGACCTTGCCCGAGCTCCATCACCTCAGAGCCCTGACTGCTTTGTGGGGACAACTGGAGGAAGGTGGGTGTGATGTAATGGGGAGCGGCCTATCCAGGGAGGAGGAGGTGCTTCAGTGTGGCAAAGAGGGTGGACTGTGGGGTCCAGAGACCAAGGTCCAAATGTCACTTTACCTCTTTGAACCCCATTTTCTTCATCTGTGAAACTCACACACCTAGAAGGGCTCATGGATGGATTACCTGAAACAAGGCAGGTAAAGACTTCAGTACTAGGCCTGGTGCCTTGTAGACATTTTTTAAATTGGAATCATCATCATCATCCTCACAGTAGCCCCAGTTCCGCTACTAGCTCTCTGCATCTAGAGGAATCATTTTCCCTTCTCTGGATCTTCGTTTTCTCATCTGTGAAATATAGGTCTGGTCTAAATCAGACCATTCACCTGGGGTGGGACCTTAGAATCACCATGGAGCTTTATCAATAACGTATTTCTAGACCCCCATCCATGAGACCTGCTGAATAAGAAATCTCAGGATGTGAGACCACCTGGGAGTCGGCATTTTGGCAAAGCCCCCAGGTGGGTCTGATATAAATTTCTTTGCTGTGAACCTT